ATTGAGATGCAGTCTTCAACAGGTAAGCATGTAAACAATGACTGCACATCAAAACTGACCATAGTTTCATTGTCTGCCAGACGTAGGTCTTTAATCTCGCTGACAAAATGGTAGGAATCCTTTATGTGTGCTCTTGTATGTCCCCTGAGCGGTGAGAGTATTTTCGCTAAGTGTTGAGCCAATCTGTAAGTTGGTGAATCGATTTGGCTCACTATGGGGCGTAATGGAGCATTGGGCTTCTGTATTTTTGGTAACCCATACAACTTTGGTGATTTGGCACACGTAGGTATTATCCATTTTACGTCCAGATTTATGTTGTTGTTTATATGTTTTTTTATGTTGTTCTGACTGTTTGTTCCGGCTAATCTCCGAAATGGCTGGACCGATTTAGACAGAATTTTCACTGGCAGATAGCTAATATTATAAGGATGTAGCTCTAAAATGCACGCAGGCGAAGTCGTTGGAAACACCTAGTGTTAAAATAAACTTCAGAAAATGGAAACCATTTTAGCAAAATGTTGTAGATTCCGATGCAATTACTCAGGGAAAGGGTTTAAATGTAGAAATCTGTGCAATTACATCCGAGTGCTGGAGCGTAGTGCGCACTCCGGGATGTAATATAATTGTTGTTTTAACACTTACGGGGTTGCCAACACAATTACTGTATATTAATTAAAAATACCAGCAGAGGTGTTCTACTGTTTTTGTGTATAACTGCTAGGCAGTAGGATTCCTTTCCTGTGTACACGTCACGTCTCACGGCACTCGCGGGACCAAGAGGCCTGCGTGCAGCTGCAAACTGTTGCGAACTGAAAGGTGAAGAAGAAAATGTAAAAATCCCTACTGTAAGGCAATCTATGGGTAGGTCTGTGTGCACAAGTGAACGTTTGAAGGGCTTTTATGAATATAATGACGGGTATTGATGAAACACCGAGTCTTCGTGATGGTATACATCCTCAATTAAGATGGCGTCTATGCCCTAAGTTAGAATGACTCTTTAAAAGTAAAAATGTTTCCGGTTCTCGGCCGTCGCTATACGAAACACAGCAACATCAAGTTGCTATTTTACGCTGTTATTCTGTGAGAGCGTGGTCCTTCCCCGGTCGAGCCTGCCCGTTCGTGATTAACCATAATATAGCTGCAAAATGGCTGTACCACGTATAAAACCTATAATTTCTTAAAAATTATCTAATATTTAAGAAATTTTCTTTCATAGTACAAAATCTTGAAACTTTTAATGATGAATCTTCGCTGCAGAGTTTTTTTCATTTTCATAAACAATTCCTTATGAAAATTAAACTATTTCTAAAACGTATTTTATAATATTAATATTTACAAATAATTATTAATTTAAATTGTTTATGGTTTATTATATTATTATTGTTTATTGGTTATGGTTAAGTGCTAAAAATTGCATTCAACTCCCGACTAACTTGTTCGTTCATTATTTTAATTTTTTGTGATTGCACAGAGATAGCACTTGTACTTGTTTTTTAATTAATTTAAATTATTAATTTATTGGCCATAAACACCTACCGAATTCTCCGGATATTTATGAATATAAAGTTCACATATAACAACATACACAAATATAAATTTTAAAAGTTTAAATTATAACTTGTTATTTTTGTTTTCTTTTATGGTTGAGGATTGATATAACCGTACTTTTGTATGTCTAAAGTTATAAGAAATTGTCCTTTATAATATTTTGCTTCAAAATTGCGAATGCAAAATTTTTGGGAGATTTTGATGACAACTTTTTACGTGGTAGAGCCTTGCTGCAGCTTTATTGTGGTTGCAACACGAATGGGTCGGCTCGACCAGGGTAGGACCACGCTCTTACACAGTATACGTTTCAATATTCCGTCAAAATTCAAGAGGTCGAATTTGACTGCACCCACCTACGGCAATTTAACCCATAAATAATTATATTTAGAGACTACTTTTCTACGAAGAAATTTGGCTTTATAGAATCAATATGAAATTTTTTATCATCTAGTGGAATAAACCGGTAACAGGTAATCTATGGATATTAATTTATATTCTACGTTGTTGTGTTGATTTTAGGATTTTTTTGGTTTTTTATTGTAAAATTGTTAAAAAAAATTTTGTGAATATAATTTATCTTCTTACGTAAATAAATTCGAGTAATATATAGAAATAATTGTGATTTTCACGCTGCCGTCATTCGCTTGGTTATTTTTTTTTGTTATCAAAATACAATAAAATCTTTTTGTAATGAAGGAAAACCTGACTTGTTTGAACTACAGCATAGAGAATTTTGTATGGATTGAAATAATACTAGTTTTTACGGAATTTATCGCGTATATTTAACTTTTTTACCCGACGTTTCGAGAGCTTTACAGCACCCATGGTCACGGGAAGGACCAAAGAGTATAATAAGTATATACAGGAAAAGAGAGCCCTCTGACGACATTTTATTGCAGACAAAATTGAACTACTAGCGCCTCCTACAAATTGAATCCGAACTAATTCGCTATATATAGCTCTACATATACCTCTTCTATAGTAGTAAAATGTATAATATTGTTCGTATACATACTGAAACAGTTTTACTGCCTACTTTTTGTAATACTGTTTTTGATATTATTAAAAGTAGGTAAAACAGTTTCAGTAAGTACACTGGTATTTATGGGGTATTTGCAATGAAACAAGAGAGATAACGATGAGCACACGCAAAAAGTAGCCACCATTTTGACTTTCATTTTCGTTTGAATATTTGACGTTTTGAAGTTTAGGGTGGCCAGTATCATAATTATCATAATCGATTGATTTCACGATGTTTAAGTTTTTATTTTATGTGAAAATAATATTTGTTATAAACAAAATCACCAATAATTCGTTAGATCACCAAAAATATCGTGCATTTAATTTTATTTTTAAGCTAATTTTAGTTTCTTTTTAAAAGTAGCGACATCTGTGAAGACCCTAGACCAATAATAAACATAATGTTTTCGGAAACAAATTATGGATGGCGCTACCTTCAATTGAATTCTTGTGGTCCAAGGCAACTGATCTGATAGACCGCAGATCCTCGCTAAAGAACACCGATTCCTTCCAAGGATGATTCGCGAGGCTATTGAAATCAAAAAACATCCTAATTTCAATAGAGAAGATGGCTGGGTGCTACCATCTGCTTGGGATCCTATAATAAATAAAATTAAATCCCAACCCAAGCATACAACTGCAAGACTCCATGATACCATAAGTTCATACTGTGTAGATCGGAACAAAAGTTAAATTTTAATCTATGGTAACCGCGGTTAACTATGACAGCTGGACGTTGAACATCTCAGTCCTTCCCGTGACCATGGGTGCTGTAAAGCTCTCGAAACGTCGGGTAAAAAAGTTAAATATACGCGATAAATTCCGTAAAAATTAGTATTATTTCAATGTGTAGTGTTCGCGTAAATATAAGAAATCAATTTTGTATGGATTTTATAATACTAAACTTCTCTATGGAAAAGTAGTCTCTAAATATAAGTTTTAATGGTCTTAAGGGCTGTGGGTGGGTGCGGCCGCATACGACCGCTCGGGATTTGTCAGGCGCATGCGACTGCATGGAAATTTTATGGGGATTGAAGGGTTAATGGTGTTGTGTTTCGTGTGATAAGTGTAGAGAACGAGAGACCCTTTTTATTAAAAACGAAGCATTCCATTTCAGTCCTCAAGTCTGGCAACGCATCTGCATTTTAATTTTAATTAAATATTAATGTAGATGTCTATGGGCCACAGAATTAACTTTAGATCTGGTGGACTGTGTGCTCGTTTGTCACCCTTATTTTATAAAAAAAAACTTAGCCAGCAGATGATGTATGATGACATTATCTTAAGTTGTTAAGGCACCTAAGCAGACAATTTTTTAAGGTTCATATGAGCTTTACAACCATTGTTTCGTGGTTCCCACTCACAATAGCGCGCATGCGCAAACCCTTAGTACACACGCTGGCATCACTTTTACGTATTAAAATCATTATTTAATCGATAAAACAGAAAAACAATCCGCCAGCGTTCAACTACCCGCCAAAATTTCCACCGAGTAACTTATATAGCAAAAAAAAACTTATTTGATAATGAGTAAACTTTTGTAAGAGCTTACATACACTTTAAATTTTTCAGAAGTTCATGATAGATTAGTTGAAATAATCCTCGTGTTACTTAAGTAAGTTATACCTACTTACCTCTCACTGCCGCTAAGCAAGTTACGTGTACTGCTGGGTTTCAGTCTGAAGGGTGTACAGAACCAGTATTACAGCCTCCAGATAAAGAGCACTTAGATAGAATGCCTCAGTACCAGTAAAAAAGGTCTCCTCTTGTCTACACAACATATTGTCATCATCTACACCAACATACTGACAGTCAGTGTGACTGCATATTAAAATTGTACTTTTGATATTTGTTATATCCTCTTAACAGTGATCTGAGTCTATATCACCTAACGCAAGAACAACACTCTCTACAAGCAGCCTCAAGCTGCTATTTTATACTGGTATTCTTCGTGGTCCGTTCCCGGCCAAACCGATCCATTCATGCCACAACTAAAGTTTTTATTTAATAATAATCGAAATAAATTAACATCTTTATATCTAGACCTAACTCCTGGACCATCGTTACATCAGTTAGCTCAGTGCCCAGCCGCTGCTCCACATAACGTATTAATGACCTGCCGGTACCGAAGTAGTTAATTATTGCATGTATTCCCATACATTTATTTATTTACCATTATTTTGTACCAAAAGTACGGAATTAATGTCATATGCCTACTGAATAATTTTTTTACCGTCTCGTCACATCGCACATTGCTTGATAATGTAATTTAATTGGTAGATTAGCTCGTTGAATGAAATAAAATTTTCATCTTTATCGCGGTTTATTTACTTATTTTTATTTTCTCAACGTTTGAAAATACTCATGGTTTCGGGGAGTCTGAGATATTAAACCTTCTGCCACAGTCAACACGTTCTTTCGACAGAGACGAAATGGTATCTGCTAGTGTATTTTTTTACTCCCTTATCCACTTGAAGGCATAATTAGATGAAATGAGTCAATGAAAAGGTTTATAAATGTAAAATTTAAGAGTGACGGACGAGTTGAAAGTCAATATTTGATGGTAAGTAGCTGTTGCAATATATAGTAGTTGCACCTGCAACTAAAATACAAATAAAGAAGACATCTGATGTGTTTGTGACTTGTGTGTGCGCAAGGGGGTCGCGTTCAATAAAAATAAATGTAATAATGCTGGCTGTAAATATCTTTCACCAGGTCATGGCCAGTCTCACAGGCGGTGTTCAGTGGGTACAAGTCTCCACATAACCACGCAGCCGGCTACGTGGTGTGCGATGAGCATTCCCCGCTTCCGGAAAGTAGCCCGTTTTTTCGGAGCTAATGTTTTAATTCGATGTTTTCCGGTTGTAGCGCGACCGTTACAATTGTCATTAAATTATTAATAAAACATACGATAAGTCATTCAATCATTCGTATCAGCCTATCAAAGTCTACTTATTAACATAGGCTTAACGTGTGGTAGTAAATTCTTCTACGAACGCTTAAAAATTGTTACAAAAAGTATTTTTAAATCCACTTACATATACTTTTGATGTCGCTTCTCAACAAGCTATATCACAGAACATTTACATTATAACCGCGCTGTTTCTTTCTTGAATTTCTTCGAAACGTAGGTTCTGAAGCACGTTTCTCTTTAAATATTGTTAAGAGACATTTCAGAGAGCGATTCAAAACTTTCTCAGTACTTGTTTTATTCAGCTTTCTAAAGCATTTTATTAAAATTTGATCTTACTTAATATTTCATTTCATAATATAGTTTATAATAGGTTTCATTTTTGTATTCTTGTTATTCATCAGCCGTACCGGTTAGAGGCGGTGTGGGAACATCCACTGTCACATAACGTACCGTAGCAGTCGTGAGAGACGACAAAAGAAAGAAACCAGGACATGTGCAGCAACGTCTTTATAGCAACTAGGAAGTAAAAGCTGTGGTTGCCAGACCGCCTGCCGAGCGTGGCAACTGTGGCACACGTCTCTCCTATGAGGTTATCCGTGGGGGATATTTATATTCAGCTGTGCACTTCAATAGGCTGTAGTGAATGGATAACAAGAGAAATTCTTATTGTTCGTTATTGAGTACATTAATTTGTGAATTGTAAAAGTGCCATATAACTGATCTGACGTATGATCCTTTATTTATACATAGTGCCGGCTATAAACAATTATTTAAATACTATATTATATTACTAGCGATGCGGTCCGGCTTCGCATGGATATGATCCTTTGATATGTCGTATTTAGATAGTAGTAGTAGTTGAGATAATGAGAGACCATTTATTTTAATTATTTTATAATTGTTTTGATTTTATAAAAAATCACTTCAACATTTCCGGATAAATTAGCCCAGCTCCCTCCTGGCGCTGCTCTCTGTCTGTTCATAAAGAATCATGTCCAATTCTGACCTGAAAATTTTCGAAAGCGTCTAGTGATGTAAAATATCTTATAAAATTGCTCTTTTTTTGCTTATTTCGAATCGCATAATTGAATTTTCTAATAAAGCCAGGAAAAAGAGTAATGTTAATATGTTTATCACTTTCAATAGACTTTTGGAGACGGAACGAGTTCTACAATGACTTAAAGGCCCAGAAGCCATGCCAAAACATATTTAAAAAAACGTGTTTGTCAATGACAGTCCGTCATTTGTTTGAAGTTTTGCACCCGTCAGGGTAAATGTGTTCTGTGTTTTGCAGTCGTTCGTTAGCTTTCCCTACGTTTTGTACTGTGCGATTTTGGATTTTCTGATACCCTTACAACTTGCATTTTCCACGGACTTCGATACCTTCCACTCACGATTACTTTGGCCTGTGTAATACGGATACCGATTTAGCTTTTTGATTGGGATCTAAGACGTTATCGTACTTGTTGGAAAGCGTTATGGAGCCTTCTACGAGAATGCTATGTATAAACTGTAACATATGTATTAATACGCTTCAGCGTTATCGGGCCCTTCAGCTTGATAGCAGAGTCATCTCGCTAATTAGCACTTGGATATCTCCAGTAATAGTAAGTAGTAATAACATACAACATATAACATATAACATACAACAATACAATAGTAGTAGTAAGATTTTACCCATGTTTAGCTAAAGTGTCCTTTAGGACAGTTGTCTAAAATAAAAAATAAAACATGTAAAAATACAAATTAAATGTGCCTATTTCAATTTATGCTTTATAATCTCATAATTGATTTATTTTTCAGATTACGGAAGAGGACTACATTTGTGAAGCGTGCTTTGATGTATCCATGTAGTCTATTAATGCTCAAATTCATGGAAACAATGAGTGTCATCCATCTGCTTGTTCATCTCGCCTTGGTCATACTCAAGTGTGCCCCGTTTGTGGTCGATCATTGCTCAATCGTCAAAGTGACCATATTCAAAAAGAAAACCCATCAAGCCTCACACTAAGAATGATCAACTTAATTCGAGCTACTGTAGCACCTCGTCAGGTTTGTATTTAAATATTCAATCTCATTTTAAACTGCATGCAATTTTTTCATTAAACTTCACATTCTAATCTATGACATTACTAGGTATGTCACTGCATTTATTACAAATATGTTGTTTTTCTGTTGACAGATATCACAATATGATCGTGTATGTCATGCCTGTTGGTTGAGGTTTAAAAGACAAGCTCTTTTAACTCAACAACAGGATGAAAGAAGAGGCTTAGAAGGTGATGAGACTCCTCACGGTCAAGAAGAAGTGGAACAGCCTGTTGATGCAGTTCATGTTCCAGAATTACAACCTCCCCCGTTTCTTGCAAGTACAGATGAAAGGGATTCGTCTGTAGAATCAGTTGCAGCTCCAGAGGTTCATTCGCTACAATCTCAAACCCAACAATCAAGTAACATTACATTACATAATTATAAACGTGCTCCCAATACAGCATCTCATTGTGCATTTTATGGGTGTGAAAATGAAAATCTGCATACTGTGTCAGATGCACTGCGGGCTACCATTTTGTGCAACTACAATTTTTATATTCCCAAGCTGGCAAGAGTATGCACATACCATTTACATGGAAACAGTTGGAGTTCCCTTTATACCAGTGAAAACAGCATGAGCGATTTCACTGTTGAACAAGTTGAGCATGTTTTTTCCTTTGTTCAAAAATACAAGCATTTTCTCGATTTTTCAAGCATGGAATCATTACAAGAAATTGACGACAATTTATTTGAATTTTGGATTGGCTTGTCAAAATTGAAATTCCTTAATTTGTTAGAAGACCTTCCCCGACTGTTGGAAAAACATAGGGGTGTATTAGGTCTAGCTGCTGTATTGATAAAGATGCGGACAGGTGATTCCGACTTAAGAATATCAACATTGCTAGAAGTTCCTCGTACTACACTAGAGAAGTTAATGCAAACAGCACGAGAGGTACTGCTACAGGATTTTGTTCCATGTAACCTTGGAATAAATCACTTGCCGAGAGAACAATTAATAGAACACAATCTAATCATTCCGAATGGAATTTACAATGAAAATAATAAACAATGTATTGTGATGTGTGATGGAACATACATTTTTTTAAATAAAAGTGGCAATTATATGTTTCAAAAAGACACATATTCTTTACACAAATATAGAAATCTGTTAAAGCCATTTTTAATAGTTGCCTGTGACGGTTACATTTTAGATTGTTTTGGCCCATACAAAGCTACCACATCTGATGCCGATATAATGTCTTCTTTGTTCAGCAACGAAAATTCCCCACTGAGACAATACTTTCAAGATAATGACATATTTATTTTAGACAGGGGATTCAGAGACAGCATCAGCTTATTGGAGCATTGTAATTATAAGGCATATATGCCAGAGTCACTTTTGGAAGGTGAACACCAGTTAACCACCACCCAAGCAAATAGAAGTAGATGTGTAACTATTTGCAGATGGGTGGTGGAGGTTGTAAATGGATATTTTAAAAGAGATTTTAGATTATTAAGGTTTGACAATTTTAATAAAACTGTACCAAATATGATGGCTTATTTCCAAATTGCTGCAAGTTTAATAAATAAGTTTGGTGTTCGTCTTCGCAATAGAGCTGATGCTGCTCAAATTCTTGGTATAATAAATGAAAGGATGCCCTTGGAAAATAACTTAATTAATATAGTTACAGAATATAATTTAAATCGCTGGGCATCCTTTTTTCAAAGCATTACAACTGATACTGCTAATATTGAGTTTCCCCGTCTAGAATACAGTGAATTAATATTATTCGCCTTGGGAACGTACCAAATTCGCCAAGCGCGTTCATATTATGGTGAACACGTACGTTTCCATGGCGGATACAGGATAGAAGTTTGTCAGGATACTAATAATATACCTGAGTTAGGCAGTGGGGAAAATTCACTTATAAAAGGAAAAATAAAGTCTAGACATATCTCAAGACGTCAGTATTATGTGTACATTTTGATTGCAAATGGTGTTGATGGACGAGAAGGCATTGTAGAGTATTGCTGTAACTGCATTGTAGGACGTCGCACTGTAGGTTGTTGTGCGCATATTATGACAATGGTGTGGTACTTGGGTTGGGCCAGGCATGAAACCAATATTGAGCCTCCAGCTGCATTTTTAGATGAAGTGGTCATACGAGAAGACAATGAATAAATAAAAATAAATCAAATCGTGTTTTTTATTTAATTTCCCTGTTCTCGCCAAAAACATGTAGAAAAGGTAGCTCTTTTTGTTATCTATTAATGTTGTGATGGCCCATAGGTTACAACTCGCCTCTTATGCACAGGCTGTGAGTTCAAATTCAGGCAAGTACCAATGTGTGTCTTTCAATGCGTAGGTACGTATTTTCTAAGTTTATCTTACAATGGGGAAGGAAAACATCGTGAGGCAACCTGAACTCAATAATCATATGGTAGAAGTATAATAATCAAAATAAAAGTCTGAAACTGCCAACTCATCTTGACTCTGCTTGGTGATTAATGCTGCTGCTTTCTCTGTATGAAAAGAGGTCTTTTCCCAGCAGTGGGGCCGTATTATTATGCTTATATTAGGTATTATTTACTCTCTTTCTCTGTTCATCAGACTTTTAGAGTTCGATGGCAGAAAGCGTCGCCTGTCAGGACGACTCCTTGAGTCAATCTGTTACGACGACAGATTTTGACCGATAATTAAATGAACTATACGTATATTGTTCTAATTTGCATAAAGTGTAGTCTAAAAATCAACATAGGCGAGATATTACGAAAACGTAACTGCTATTTGTGACCGCGCACAGATGATAATATTACATTGAAGAGGGATTTATTTCTGAGTGATTGTAACTCTCTCGGCGATTAAGAAACAATAACAGAGTACTTTTTGTATACCTGAAAGAAACAATTTGATTATAAACGTATAGTTTTTGAGGTTGCGACAGCTGTCAAATAAGGTTTGACAGCTGTCATAACCTGAAAAAACTTATTTACTTAATAGCATTTTTCCCTGGCCTCTAAATGAAAAGGTAATAAGTTATTATGTTATTATAAACAATAATTGATTTTATGCAACAGCACTTGTAGGTAGACGCGCCCTGTAAAACAAATCAAGTGACAGGTCAATCAATGTATGGGAAGTGGGCATTCTTCTTTCATTGTAATCGGTTCAGCCGTTCTTAAGATTTAACATACAGACAGACAATTTTTTAAATGGTTGTTTATGTCTTAATAACATGGAAATTATCCCCTGAGCTTAATGAAAGCCAGTTGTTTCCAAATTACAAAAATTTCGGTTTTATTTTTTAATTATAAAATACATCTAGCTTTTAATTTCGATCATAGAAGAAGTCACTAAAACTTAAACTGCTACATAGTAAAACGCTGAATAGCTCTTTCATTATATCCCGAGGCTTTCTATATTACTTTCTTTGAGAAAACTTTCCCAGCTCACAGCACTCACATTTCTATGTCATAAAGATTTGTTTGTCATAAAGATTACCTAAGAATGATAACAATAACGGGCAAGTTTCTTTTCCCAGTAAAGTAAAGTTGCAGCCTATATACACGTCTTCTTTATAAAAATGAGGCGACAAACAAACTTACAGTCCACCTGATGGTAAGTCGCTGCTGCAGCAAATTGACACTTGAACCTAACTTCAGCCAAAGAAAGCGGTGGACACTTACCATGAGGTGAGTTGCATGCTCGTTTCCCCTCTTAAATAAAAATAACAACTTTCGCGACCTCGCTCTTAAGTTTGACAATAACTGACAGGATTCTTGCAAGTGACAAACTCACATTAAATGTACTTTATTAGAGTAACTTTTCACCGTGAGGAATAGAAAGGAAACCAAGTAGAAACCTGTGACAATATTTTTTTTAATTTATAGTTTTCAGTATAACTTTATCAAACTGATCTCTCAGTAAATATTAGAATGAATACTTTTTACCTAGCAGCCGTTCCACTTGACTTCTTGCCTAATTGCTACGCGTAAAGTAGGATGCACATGATTTTAATTACATTAATTTATCGCTTTTTAATTGTTGTGAAACTAAAAAGTTCATCTTAAAACAAACATGTAATTATATAGGAATATTTGAACTACGATAATAATAACAATTTGACTGATACAAATATACTGGACCAATTATGAAATCTTCATTAATTAATACCTATTTATTGATTACTTGTTGACCTTTTGTTATTATAGAACATTTTACTCATAAATAATATTATCTCGGTATTTTATAGTTGTAAAATTTGCATGCCATTAATAATAGCTGATTAAGCGGATGTTTAATTACTATGTCCATCTTCAGTGTACCATAACCAAACGCAAATATTTCACTTCATTTAATCTACAATATTTTTGTACTCCACAATAGACCTCCTTCCCTCTACTCCCAGGTAGTTATACCAGTAACACGACTCCAACGAGTTAGTGATTCCGTCATAGGGCAATGTATACGCTTTTACAACTAAATCCCATAAAATATGCAAGCCTTATCCACTAAGCAATAATTGTTTAATAAGGGTTATTATACTACTAAAGATAACATGACTGATAATAAACCCAGGGAATGAGGAGATCGCTAGCATGCTCCTTCTAGTGTCTTAATTCCAATTGTATAAAATAATATATTGTAAATTGACTTTTCCAACAAGTGTCGAAGCTGAAAACCGAGTCTGGCAGCATCATTATCGGGACACTTGAGATTTTGAGTGAGATTGAGAGGTTCTATGAGCAGCTGTACACGTCATCATTGGAGCCATACTCATGTGTGAGTAGCGATCCAAGATCAAATCTTATCCGACACTATTCCGATGATATCCCCGACATCAGCTGACTGAGATTAAAATGGCTCTCCAGTATCTTAAAAACAGCAAGGTCCCAGACGAGGATGGAATTACAGCGGCGCTTCTGAAATCGAGTGGAAAATCAGGCCTTGAAGTCATTCAGGAGCTCTTAAATTCCAATATCCATGGTGGCACTACTCAGGAAGCGTGGAGCAGAAGTGCGGTGGTCTAGTTCTTCAAGAAAGGTGACAACGCTTTCTTGAAGAAATACAGAGATTTTCCTTCTGAGTCGCGTCTACGTGCTATTTTCGAGAGTCATTACGAATCGTCTCATACGCAAACTCGACGACTTCCACCCTTTCGAACAAGCTGGTTACCGAAAAGGCTTGAGTACGATAGACTACATAAATACCCTGTGGCAAATTGTACAGAAGACCGAAGAGTAAAATCCGCCACTTTGCCTAACGTATGTGGACTATGAGAACGCCTATCATTCCGCGGAAATTTGGTACAGCAGTTCCTTCAGCGGTGCCAAGTTTACTATCGGTATATCGAAGTTCTGAAGTGTTTGTATAGCATGGCTACGATGGCTATCTGAATATAGAACCAGAGTTCGAAAC